AATTTCTGAGAGCTGTCCTTTTTTTTTGTTTTCCCTCCTTTTTAACTTAAATGGACAAAGTATCTCAAGTCTTTCTGAGTAATCTAATTATGAATTTCTCTTATATTTCTTGAACTATTAGAATTAGTCATTCTAGTGGTTCATCATTATTTTTTTCTTTTGTATCGTTGATTTACCTTGAAATTTCCTAGCAATTTCTCTCCACTAGACCTGTGTATTTGAATGTAACTGTTAAGTTTGCAGCTGTCAGTTTTCACTTTCACATGTGTCTGGGAAACACGGCATCTGATTGCTTCCAAACATACACACATGCACCCTCCAGAATGACGAGGATATTACTAGGACATTACAGGAGCCCTAATCCTTGCTAGGGTAGCATGAAATTATTTATTTATTATTTTTAGATGTTACAGAAGCAAACACCAAAGTGTCGGAACCACTACTTCTCTGCATGCCCAGTTGAAGAGCAGTAGTTCAAACAGGTGCAGCTGCTCTGTAGATGGACATTTAAAACACTTAATGTCTCGTTTCCCCTTCTGGTTATCATTTCTATTCCTTCCTACCTTAGAGTGGGAAGCTCTGATGGGAAGAACGACTCCCACACTCGTGTTCCTACTTCCTGAGGCTCCTCTGAAGGGTGGTTTCCTGTGGTCTCTTTTATGCATTGGCCTATTCCCATCTGTTCTTTGTCTTTTACAAATTCATCTGAAATTCTGACATGCTGATGGGTACCTCATCATCATGAAGACTCAGCTTTATATGTTTTTAACAATGATGTGCACTTTCTAATTTGAATTTCTGACAGACTTCGCAAAAGTGGAGTGGAGAAAACCTATGCTTAGGTTGGCATTTTCATGTGCAACTTTTGAAATGGGAAGTTTAATAATAGTAATATTAGTCAGTATTACATAATATCAATAACACGACCTAATAATGTTTTCTATCACATTAGTAATATTTAATAGCATATAATTAGTGATGATAGCAGTTATATTTTATAAACACATATATAAATATAATTTGTACATAAATGTTTTATTTACTACCTAATATTCATTGATATTAATGTTTCTTAACACCTCAAATGTCTTGTATATTTAAATATATTAATAAATGTAATTTATAATTTAATATAAAACCAGATACATATGCATATATAATAAGGAGAATATAATCAATTTTTTTAGAATATTAAGTTCAGCTATATTCTTAGTGGTTTTTTTGAAGTACTAAAAATGGTATGTTCTAAAAGCTTTATCGCTTGAAGAAAAAGAAAATTCTATTCAGTTTTTTGTATAACACTTAAACTGATTTAGTTTTCCAGTGCTTGTTATTTGGGAAGGGGCAAAAGATCTTTACTTGAAAAGTTACAAGGTGGGTAATACAGTTTTACTTCAGATAAATAAGGTTTAGTATATTTATATTCTCAGATTAATCTTCTGGTGGTTTCTGGGTAAATCTTGTCAGTCAAAATATTTTCTTTTATTGATACTGTGTCAGGTCTTTGACTTTTTTCTCAGCACTTATAAAGTATATTTTTCACATTCATCATTCGTGAAAGAATAATTTCTGAATTTTTGATGTTTTGGGAGGGGGCAGCAGGAGACTGGAAAGTGGTCAGTGGCCATTGGCACTCTGCCTGATTTTGACCACAAAGATGAGTCTGTTTTCTTAAATGACCCACTTGCAGTCTTTCTCCATTTCTGTGCCCTTTAGTTTTTTATCCTCCCACTACAGACAATTGTTATCTGCTGACAGACATGCTGTGTTTCCACTATGGTAGTTCTGAGTGATATATGGAATCTGTTTTATACCATATAGCTTTAACATTGCCAAATGCCAAACTTGTATTTTAATCACTTCCACTCTGACTAGCATTTTAACTATGCTAGTGGAGTATCAAGTGACGAGAAAATGAATACCAATTTGTCTAATTTTTGCACAGAATTTTAGTGTTCCAGTAAAATTTAGGAGTCTGGTCAAGTATCCCCTAGTGCCAACCTGAAAATATCTGTCATTAACATTTAATAATCTACTGCCCCTGCTTTTCATAACATCTAAGAGAGTAGATTCATGAATTTATTTAGGTTTAGGGCATTTCTCCTTATCTTTGGGCTGCACATTTTCTTTCTAATAAGGATACTATGACATGTGTAATGCATTTACTTTTTTAAATATCACAAAATGTGATTGCTTCTTTTTGCATATATCAAATTTTTAATATTTTCTGTTTTGGATTCTGTGTTCCTCTTTTGAAATAAAATAGAGTTAAATATATCTAAATATTAAGAATCCTTGATTTTTAATTTTTAGTTTTCCATACCATAATTAATTCATAGCTTGGTGATATATTTATTTTAAATTTAAGATTTAAAAATAATAAACATGATTATTAGAAAGAATTTAGATCAGGTTAAAACAACTTTTATGATGTCTGCATTGTGTTTGCTCTTTAGACATAACCAGTAATTATAATAAGCTGTAAAGTCACATCTTAACTGTGAAATATGCAGAAATACTGAAGGATAAGAGTTAATAAACTGCCATCTTCATTCATATTGTATGGGCCATTTAATTTAAGGGCTCACTAATTATTTTTGATAACATTTTTGATGATGTCTGGGTTTTTATTGCTTTTTTTGTTACTTGTTTTAACACATAGTTTATAGCCACTTTCGATACATCCTTTTTAGGAATCAAAACAAGCTATGACAACGGCAATAAGTATTAGCTGTTGGCAGCTGAATACTTCCTATGTTTCAAATATTTTGCTTGGTGCTTTACGTGCATTGTCTCATTTAAGCACCCAGTACATCTGTGTATCGTTATTGTGATTATACAGCATAGGGCAGACAGTCGCATTTCCTGTTCAAGGTCATTCAGCTCTATTGTGCAGAACTAGAATTTCTGCCCAAACCTTTCTGACTCCAAAGTGATTGCTTTAGTGCTCCATAGAATTCTGAACTTGCCTAATTAAGTGTATATACGTATACATATGTGTATATATTATATATGTAGATGTGTAAACACACATATATACATATACACATATTTGTATGCTGTTTACATATGTACATATTGTATGTATGAATATCTACATAATTATATACATATATATTATATGTGCACATACAGGGACTATATATAGTCCATCACCCCTATATATTCAGCTGGCAACAGCTAATATTTATTGCTGTTGTCGTTGCTCATTTTGATTTTTAAAGAGGATATATCAAAAGTGGTTATAAACTATGTATTAAAACAAGTAACAAAAAAGCAATAAAAACCCAGACATCATAAAAATGTTATAAAATATATGTATTTTATACATATATATAATCTGTCTAGAAAAAATCCAGCCATTGTTACTATATCAAGAGTGGTTTACAAGGCATTGATGTAACCTGGCAACCAAGGAGAGTGCACTGGAATGCAAATGCATGAACAATGACGACTTCACTGTACCAGTTAGTGGGGGTGATAGACGCCATTGAGAGAGCATGTGTACTGTGTGGCTGTTGCATTCAAAATGATTGAATTGAATAATGAATTAACAACAGATCTGCATCAAATTTTGTGTTAAGCTTAAACGTTCCTCTATATAAACTATTTGGATGATTCAGAAGACCACAGCTATGGGCAACTGGTGATTGGCAGCCTCATCGTGACAACATATCCACTCACGCTTCACTTCTCATGCAGAGTTTTTTGGCAAAACATCAAATCACTCCAACAGAGCCCAGATTTGGTATCCTGCAACTTCTGGTCTTTCCTAAAACTAAAATCACTTCTGAAAAGAAAGAGATTTCAGATCATCAATTAGATTAAGGAAAATACAAGGGGGAAGCTGATGGCAATGGGAGAACTGTGTGAGGTTCGAAGGTGCCAACTTTGTAGAGGTCTGAGGCGTCATTGTCCTAGGTACAAGGTTTCTTGTGTTTTGTATCTTTTTCAATAAAATGTTTCTCTTTTTGAAATTGCATGGCTGGATACCTTCTGGATATATATAGATTATCCATCTATCTATCTCCAAGTGAATAATTGAATCTATTGATATAACATCAGTTAATAAGATTATATTGGTTTCAGGTGTAGATTTTTATGACACATTATTTGTATATTGCATTCTGTGTCTACCACTCAAAGTCTAATTATCATCTGTCACCATGTATTTAGCTCCCTTTAACCTTTACTCTCCCCTACCTCCTTCCCATATTAAAAAAAATATTTGTATTATTTAAGTATTATACAGAACCTGTTATCATAAAAAGTTAAATTGATATGTGTCCCAAATAATCTTGAGAATAATGGTAGCTATTTTACTGGGCAAGAGGAAGCACCAATCATTTAATATAAGTTATGAAATATACTCATCACAGCCATCAAAAAAATTAGGTGCTAGTATAACTTTAGCTTTGAAGATAGCTACATTGGTAGAATAAGACAAAATTTTGAACTCCAATTGTTTGGAAACCTAAGTTATTAACTCATTCATGCCCAGTCTTTCTCCCAAATGTGGTGCTTTGATCTTATCCACTACAACTTCCATGATACCATTTTTTAAATTCATTTTCAGCTTTTCAAGACTTGCTGAATTGTCAATGTCACCTTTGCTATTTTTGTCATTATTAGTTAAATGAAAAAGTTACATAATGTGACGTAATAATAAATGAACATTTATGGCAAATATAAAAATATGCATTTCATTTTCTTTTAGAATTAGAGTTGTGGTTAATATTTTGATGGATCATATTCTAAAAATGTAACACATTTCATTTTTGAGGGGTGTTTTTCTCTGCATGATCTTTGAAATGTAAAATAATACTGTTAATATACAAAGTAAATTATAAAGTAAAATCACATTAGGTTGGAATACCACTTTGATTTTGGGAAACTAAGATTATTCTTACTGAATTTTTTTGGAGCTAGTCTTGTGGCAACAGACTGATCTTTTTCTGTTTTAATGCTGTTTTATCTTTTTCATTGACTGTTTCACTCAGATATCCCCTGGACTCCACCCTGGATCCACTCTGATCCCAATGAACAGCATCTCTCTGCCACAAGGAGAAGATGACTACGGGTACCAGTGTTTGGAGGGCAAAGACTGTGCCAGCTTCTTCTGCTGCTTTGAGGACTGCAAAACAGGGTCATGGCGGGAAGGGAGGATTCACATACGCATTGCCAAAATTGATTCCTACTCACGAATATTTTTCCCAACAGCTTTTGCTCTGTTCAATCTGGTTTATTGGGTTGGGTATCTTTACTTATAAGTTCTACTTACCAAGAAAAATCACAAGAAGTTTGACTAAATCCAATATAATCTACTGTACTCCAGTAGCATGAAGTTTAAATTTAAAATCCACAGAAACCAATGACTAAACCAATGACTACATTATGTGAATAATATAACCATTTAAAAGCTTTCATGGGAAAGTAAAGTAGAAGTTTGCATATTAACTTAAATTTATGAGATTCCTTGTAAAATTCAGCCAATTAATAACTATCATTATATATTTTTACTTGAATTTTATTTATTTTACTTATATCACATTAGGATTTTGAACTAAATTTCTTGACTTGTATTTTAAAGGTGGAATAATTTTAATACATATTTTATTTAAATATAATCTCTATATGTGTGTGTATAAATATGTGTGTGTATTTATAGCTGTGTGTGTGTATGTGTATATATATACACATACACACACACACATATATATATATATATATATATATATATATATATATATATATACACACACACCTAACCCAATGTCTAATATTTATGTAGAAATTCTTACCTAGGAAATATTGATAATTTGATTTTTTTCTTACTTTTTGTTTACATGCCTTGTTTGGAATACAGGTAGTTAAAAGCCTAAAGCCATGATATCCTGGGATTCATTTTGAAGATCTTTCACTCCCAGAAAGTAATTAATAATTTTAAATTTCTTATTAAAGAATAAAACACCAATTTTTACATTGTTGAGAGGCCAATTTGATGTGTTTTAAGCAAGTCTGTTTCCTGACACAATATTAAATAGAACTGATTACATTTAGTTTTTTAAAAATTATATTTATTGGGGTGACATGGGTTAGTTAATAAGATTATGTAGTTTTTTGATGATTTACGAACTAGGATGGAAACCACTAATGTCATCTTTTTAAAATACAAGTTTAAAAAATAATAAGAGTGTTATATTTAACCACTGTCTTCTCTGTTTCATTGCATTTATGTAGTATGAAGAAGCTAACCCTGAAATATTTAGCTCTGCCAATACTGAAATTAAATGAATAGAGAATTGATTTTTTGTGGATGCGCTACAAAAGTAGATGCTCTCATTCCTTATGTGAACAAAAACTGAGGAACAGTAGTGCTTCATGGCTAAAGAATTATTTCCTAGGAAACTGAGTGACAGTTCACATTGAGAGTATGGTAGTTAAATAGGAACTCTCAACATTTTTCAGACTAGAAATGTTCTAGAAAGAATTTTAGGCATTTGCCATATGTTGCCTTTTCTACCTCCTAAGTTTGGACTTTGTCAGTTTTACGACTTCATCATAAATCGTTATGATGTCCTCTTCTCTAGGAAAAGATAGCAGGCCCCAAAGCCACACCAAGGAACTGTGAAGTACCGTGCAGGGCACCTTGAGTGAACAGCAGTGTGAGGGCCTTCACATTGTTGCAGAAGGAGCAGTGTAAAGCCTGTTTCATAGTTTCCAAGATGTATCTTTGTTAAGAGGGAGTTAACTACAGGCTTAAATCACTATATTCTTGTAACCACTGTGGTATATCAATTGTTTTTAAGAAACCTATATGTTCATTATCACCTAATGTTCTAGAAAATCTTCAGAGTGATATTGGACACAAAATGTAAAATTGTTTCCATTGCCAAGAACAACTATCAGGATGATTTTTTTTTTGATAAAGGCCTATTTTATGTTACAGAGATGAAGCTATTGCCTGTGCATCAAACACTCTAGTTTTAATACAATACTCTGTTTACATGGGTAGTGAATACATGAATGAGGGTCTGGCATGCTTATACATATGTTTCTGAAGCACAGATTTTAAAAATCTAAGTGTATTTCATTGTGTGCCCTCCAGCCATGTCTGAAGTTTTTACTATGCTTGTAAACCTCTGGAAACCTACGCATACGTTGAACAATAGTGTCCTAATATCCACCGACACTGCTTTCTTTGAATGGAGAGCCAAAGTAAAGTTTGGCCATGTAATATATTCATTTGCAAATCATCCATGCATTCACTTTATAACATTGAGTATTAATAGATATTCTTAAGGTGAGCATTAATTTTGGGATAAATGAAAAATGAAGTACCCATGAAGAATCTAACACTTCACTAAAATGTATTATATCTATTTCCATATTACATTTTCAAAGGGAATGTAACTTTAAGCTATCGGCAGCTGATTATCATGGGGACAAAGCTAATTCTGGGATGCTTTCAAGTTTGTCTAAAAGCATGACTACATTTGAAAAGTACTTAAAAGGGCTTAGTGTAAATATTTTTTATTTTCTCACTGGTGTTCCATTGACCTGGCTTTAAATGTTGGCAATAGTTACAAGTGGAAATAAAAGTGATAAAAAATAAAAGATGTTTTTCTATATACATTCATTGTATATACCATCAAAACAACTTTGCCTCAAAGTCAGTGGTATTTTGAGCAGTTTGTAGATCAGAAATTGAATATATACATATTATTTCTAAAAATTAGAATAAAAAGATGGAAGTACAGTTTGACTCTTTTTATAAGAAATAAGGAAAAGCCTATTTTCAAAGGGAATGCAGTAGAATCACTGGTCTTCTCTTCTTTAACAAAGGTTGCCATCTTGAGAAATAATTTTTAAAAATCCTTCTCTTTCTCCAGTGAGTTATGCTTTAATTTGTTGGATTCCGGAACTTGTGTTTCCTAGTTGCTTTAAATGTTTTTAACACTAATCTAAAAAAGTAGGTACAAGAATGCGAAGGATAATTGTTGCTAAAATATATACAATCATTTAGAAAATGTTAATTCATATAGACCATTCTCTAAGTGACCAAGACATAGAAGTTCTGAGAAAGGACGTTATGATTCTTACAACTTTGTTCTCTTGGATTTACAGTTGCATGATAATACTTATTTATCTTCAGTTGCATAGATAAACTTAGGCTCATTCGAAATTAATTTCTAAAATACCAAATAGTTTCTGGAAAAAAACTTAAGATTATCTGAAAACTTGTTAGGGAAAGGGAACAATTCCTCAATAAATTTATTTAACTATGAAGTTTTAGTTTAAGAATAAGACAATTTATTAGATTGGTTTTAAGTTAAAGGCAGATATATTGAGGTATATTAGAAACTGATTACTACTAGGTTAAAGCACAGTAAATTTGTGTAAATAAATGGACAATCAGCAGGTTTTCTTTTTATTTAATGTGTTCCCATATTCTGAAATCAATATATAGTCATAAAATATGCTGTGTTTTGCTTATGAGCAAGGCCGTTGCTGAGGGCAGCAGCAGGCTTGCCAATGATTGATCATCACAAAAAATGGCTGATAGCACTTTCACATCAAGGGACCCATAATTGTAAAATTATATTCCAAGACATACGTTGTAACAAGATGCATCATGTACTTTGATTATATAAGAGGAGATTTAATAATCACATAATAAATAAATACACACATATAAAATTACCAAAGTTCTATACCAATGATTATTTTCACTTGCAAAATTTCCTATAGCAGGATACCAAATTTGTGACGATTTCACCATCACAGTGCTGGAGTTGCAGTGATCTCTTAGACGTTTAATGATTTAGCACTTGTCCCACCCAAATCATTTTGAAAATAATTTCTGATCAAGCTATTTCTCTTTACATCATCAGGTTCCTGTCACTCCTCAATGCTACACCATCTGAAGTGCAGACATATTTGCTATTATGTGTCTGTTGGACTTCATCGTTTGTCACTGCAGGGAAGCCCCTGACTGGCCACTCTAAAGTCACAGAAACCCTTGCTATTTGTCTGTAAAAGCAAACTAAAACACACCAAAACAGACAAACAGATCTTTTCGACTAGAGTTACCAAACGCTGTTGACCACAGTGCTCTAGTAGATGCAAGGTCAGTCCTGCCTCTTTTGTGTTTGCATTTTAAAAGTGACATAATTTAAAGTGACATTTAAAAAGTGACTAATCCTTGAGATGATTTGTTACACAGTTTAAGGGAGAGAGGTAATGCTGGGAAAGGTTCACGGAGGTCGCCTGTTCAGAGATGGGAGCCTAAGATTCAACATGTCAACAGGTGAGCTTAACAGATGTCGCACTTTGCTGCGAAGGGAATACCTTGAATAAGGAAGCAGAAGCATGGGATCAATCACAAATTTAATTTTAATTGAAGTTCGAGATTCATGTAGAGATGATCCAATATGATACTAAACAGATAGTTTGAGTCCTATGGTACTGAGGCAAGAATATGAACTTCAGGAGGGTAAAACTATAACTTTGAGGAGTTCATGAAGATGCTTAAGTACAATAGAGCCATTTTTTTAAATAAGATTTATTCATCCGTCTTTAGAGGGAAAGGGAAGGAGAGAGGGAGAGAAACAATGCATGGTTGGCTCTCGCGTGTCCCCCTTTGGAAACTGGCCTGCAACCGAGGCATGTGCCCTGACTGGGAATCAAACCGCGATACTCTGGTTTGCAGGCCCGGGCTCAATCCACGGAGCTACACCAGCCAGGGCAACAATAGAGCCATTTTTAATGCTGCATCTTATTAATGTGTAATAAGTTTCATCTTATTAATGTGTGATGTTTGTAGTAAGAAAATCCAGTTAAGAGACTATTATAATACAGGAGATGAGAGAGAACGGAGGTCAGTACTCTGGTGATCGAAGGTCAACAGAGAAGAAGAAAAGAGACCCCTGAATAAGAAAGTACAAGTGACATACATGAAACTGTGATGAATAGAAAACATTTACTGAGTGACATGGAGTGTGTGATGGGAGACACGGTCCTGTATCAATAGTACATATTTATGTGTACATAGACATTAGAACATGACAAAGAAATTTGGAGTGATTACTAACTTTTCTGCTATTCCTTTGAGCATTTTGAAACAAATGCTTATTTTTTTCCTATGGATCTTTGCCTTTCCCACATTAGAGGGGAAGAAAAAGAATAATATCCTGAAGTAAAAATCACAAGAGTTCTGTCCAGGTTATTATTTTTTAAATGAGTATGTTACTTACTAAAGGGGGCTTTC